AGCGAGGACTTTTCGATGCCGTCTGTGAATTCCGAGGTAAGAATGCCAAAATTAATTTCCCCGGTGCTCCCGAGTGGAACTTACTTTTTCTGAAAAGATTGCTCAAGTCAAAATGATTCATATTTTGTGATGTTGTGTCGTTAGAAGTCTTGGAAGTATTTTTTGTGAGACTTTTCCTATGTTTTAGTAATGCACATAATTCGTGTTAGTATTTAAAAAAAAAAAAAAAAGTGAGTGCATTGAATTAGGTTTTGGATTTGAATGAAGTCAAAATTACGTTTCCCGAAACGTCTACTTCATTAATTTTTTATGAGGTTTTGGACGAAAAAATTTTCTTTGCAAGTTTACTCATTCGATTGATACGCAAAAATTCTGATACATTCAAGGAACATTTGCTCTATAAAAAAAAGGAATTTGTATATCGTCTTTTACTTCAGAAATTCTTAGTTGACTTACTTCCTGATTTTTTTTTCGCGATACAGTTTTCCAAGTCGAGTGGGAGGAAGTGTAATCGTCGATGTGTCGAGTGGCACATGCGTGTTTTTCTTTTTTACTGGTTCGGGAACTTCCGACACCGACTTGCACTTGTTGCTTGTCGTCGTGACACCGGAAACTTGTTGGGAATCCTCGCACCTGCGTGATGATTGAAACTGAGTGTTTCTGGTGTTGCGGGCGACGAAATGACGAGGAAGACGAGGTTCCTGTTTCATGCGGAAAGGAAACTGAAGGTGCTGGTGTGTTATTGGGGGAGGAGGGGAAAAGCATGAACGAGGGCTTTCCTAAATTCATATTTCAACATTTTATATCGGACGAAATTTTCTGAAGTGAAAAGAAAAGTTTTCAAATGATATTGGCGATTGAAGCGCTCGAGAGGAATATTTATCTTTGCCTTTTTTTATATTGAGAGAAAAATTAAGATTGAGCACGTTTTCTGAACATTTTGAAATTGAAAGTGTCTGTGATTGAATCATTGGTTCAATTAAGCACTTCGAGGAAGGGAATAACAGCTTAATTTCCGCATTTAATTTCCTCGGTAAATCATTCATCGGTTGATTGAATTGATATTACTGAATCATCGGTTCAATTAGGAATTTTAAGAAAGGGAAGAACAGGTTAATATTTCCACGTTGGTTTAAATCTCGTGTGTCAATCGATCATCAGAATCAAATATAATTTTCAGCGCGAGCAATTATATTTTATGCAAAGCTGTGCTTGGGGAAAACGTACAAAAATGATGAGTTTCATCATAATTTCGGAATAAATCGCTCTTTATTTGACTGAGGTTGAGTTTGAAGTTTTATTTTAAATCTAATTTTCGGGAACTTATCTCCAAACCAGCTCCAAAAGACAATTTCATAGCGTTTTTTCTTCTTAATTCAAGGTATTCGTCTTCTTCATACCCATTCCTGCAAAGTTTATTCATGAGACAGGGGTTTGGAAAATAATATTTGATCAGTAGATCATTGACTTTGTAAATAACAACAAAAAATTGTAATTGTGAGGCTCTTGATCGCGTGGGAATGGGGGAAATTCCTCGTATTTGAGAATCGCCCAAACTTTTGGAAAGGGCCACGTTTTCTGCCGAGGGTTCCTCGTAATAAATGAGACTTGGTGCATTTGTTTGACGACGTTCGCAATCGATTTATGCCGCCGTTGACGCTTTTAACGCGGGTTTCTAGTGTGGCTATGAAACGCGAACCCGGGTGCGAAGCCCGACTATTATTTTCTCCCAGGGTCATGCGTGAAAGGCTTACGAAGCCAGGTTCATTTCGAGTGATGTATGAGGAAACGGCAATTTTCTTGACACGGAAAAGATTTTTTCCAAGTGCCGGAAAAAAAGAGAGAGAGGGGAGAAAAGTTGGAAGATTTCTTTGTTGTCCTTGGAATTAATTTCAAAGCGCCGCCTGCGTATTTTCTTTCATGAAGGAAAGCAGCGCCAAAAAATAAACAGGTTTCTTCGAGATGATTTTTTCAAGGGTGAGGAAATTGAACTTTTAGGTGATTTGTGCAATCTTGTTGGATACGATGTGAAAGGATGGGTTGTCAAATGCATTCCTCGCATTTCTGAAGTTTTTCGTGGTTCCACTCGAGAACGAAATGTGAATGGGGTTTTTTTATGGCGTTTCATTTTCCGAGGGGTTTACTCAAAGGTCTTGGGATCAGTTACTGATGCAGTTTACAATTGCTGTCTGATTCAGCAGAGTTTTCCTTTTTCAGCAATGGATTGTATTGTTCTTCGTCTTTAGGAAAATATTACGAATGAAAATATGTGCGCATGATATATTTTTTGTTCTCCTTCTTTTTTAAAACTGTTCTTCGTCATTTGTCTCTTGCAAAATCCTGGGCAGAATTTAATAAAATTCTTTGCCTCTTGTGACAGTCGCTTTGTAGCTCCAAAAAAATTAGTCTCGCTTGACAAATGAAATATACGTGTAACTCAAATTGGAGGATCATTAATTGGTGCATGAGTTATTTGTCATATACAGTATTTAAATTATTGTGAACACCTTCTCTCGATTATTCGTTGAATTAGGTATTTTGAGCGTTGGTCTAGCCGTGCACTTCATTTGTCTTATTGCATGGATTGCCCCAATATCTGGGATCATTAATTCCGCAAAAAGTTGATGTCACCCGAATTCTCCGGAAATAATTAGGTAAATGATCTCCGTCGCTGTTTTCTGTTGCTAGGGTTTACCCTGATTATTTTACCTATATCTGAACGTGATGTGATCAGTTGTCATTATTAAGTTTACAAATGAGAACAAAAGTGGTTAGGAGTTGTCCACAGAATTAAAAAAAATTATTTTGTTACTTTTTGGCGCGGAAAGGAGAGTGGAAACGGGAAAAATATAAATATTAAAAATGAATAAGAGGTTCAGTACCTCATCAGTTGGCTGTTTTGCGTCCAGGAGATCCTTTTACCGATCGCTGCGATTCCGTTTCAAAGTTGATAACGCTTCTCAAAATTCCTTTTTAAAAATTGGAACGTACGTTACGAACGCAAATTGCTGAATTTTTTTCTCAAGTTACCCCCTATGAGAGAGGAAAAAAAATATTTTGAAGTGCTTTGGGTGCTGGGGAACGTTTCGTGGCTCAGAGGGAATCGCGTCCGGTTTCTCCACAACGCAGTCTGTGATCACGCTTGGTGCATTTTCGATTTATTCCCCGTCGGGTTTTCAATGGAGAGCCTTTTTCTTCCTCTTCTTCTTCTTCGAGGGGTCTTTGTGATGGATGAATGACAAAAGAAATGTCGTGTTGGGTGTATGTAGGGAATGCCCCATCCCGTGAGGGGGGAGGGGGGGAAAGATGTGTAAGAAAGAGTGATTCGATTTACGTGTGTGTGTGTGGACGAGAAAATAATTTCATGACAGATTTTGACGGAAGAAATGGATTTTCGTGACTTGAGGCATCTCGCGAGTTCTTTTCTCGCCTAATAGACATTTCTGTCGCATATTTTGAGGGTTTTTTTTTTTTATTTTGTGAGAACTCGGGATTTGAATTTTGGGAGAAGTTGTGGGGAAAGATATAAGACTTCCTGGAAAGTGCGATTGATGATGTTCTAGGCCTTCAATTTATTCTTCAATGAGTTGAAAAGATGCTGAACTTGGAGACAAGGGTTCACTTGCCGAATAAGTCTTTCAATTTGCCCTTTCATAACGCATCTAGTTAAATTTTTACTGTAATTCTTTTCACTTCCTTTTGCAATTGAAATATTAGCCAAAAGGTCTCTGGAAAATTCGATTTATGAACGTTTGAGAGGGAAAGCCTTTGAGTTCAAGAGGATTTTAATGCAATGTTGAAAGAAAATTCAGCCAGGGACTTGAAAAAAAATTATACATAGTGAGGTATAATTGACTTGGATGGGTTGCAGTTATCAAGTTCCAACTTTAGTTTTTTTTATTTTTCATGCCTCCTTTTTGATTGACTGAGTCTTGGGGTTCTCATCGTTGACGTTTTTTTTTTTTTTCTTCTTCTTTTCAATCCAGGAGATAATGTGGATCGATTTTCGACAGAGCTTTTGAAGTTAGATTTGAAAGGAAGGGAATTTTCATTAAGGGCTGGTTGGGGGGGTTTTTCGACGTGGGCTTCTTCGTCTCTGGTTTGACGACAGGAGCCCGTTTTGTGCCTTGCACAATATGCTCTATCTCGCATATACTACCCCCGGGGGGTCTTTGATGAGCCGTTCGTGTCTAAATGGGGACTCTGAGGGATTCGCTCTCTTGTTCGGGTGGGGGGTTCTTATTGATCTTTTCAAATGATGATGGAGATTTGGGAACGCAAAAGTTGGGTTACTCGAGCTTACCATCCATCGTTCATTTTATTCTCGCCACGATGATCCCTTATTTTAATGAGTCTGACTGCTTTTTTTTTCAAGTTTAAATTTGGCTCTAGTTTCCAATTAGATTTTTTTTTGCTGGGATGTCCAATTTTAAAAATATGCTTTTGGGTTCCAGATGGGATTTAACACATTTTTTGCACGCCTATTTTAGAAGATCCGAACTACAGTATTTTCATTTATTTCTTGATGTCTCCCACTTGAAAATCTTCTTCCCATCAATTATATTTTTCCACCACCCGACAAGGGCTTTGGATTGAAAGGCCTTTTTCTAGGATTTACAGGTTATGCACTGTAGCGACATCTAGAATATACAGAGGAGGAACGTATTTTTTCCACTTATTTTTCCTTTAAATGCAATCCTAATTCATGATTTGAATGAGGTGAAAAATGTATTCATTTTTATTTTTGTTATGTCGCCAAAGCGTGAAGATTATTTCAAGAGACAAGAATTATATTTTAAAATTCAGATCATAAATAATTCACTTGTTTTTGGCATCCTTCATCTGTTTATCTGACATGAGATGTAGAATGTATCACTTACTTACCTTTTTGTCGTTAAAATCTTGCGATTGCGTCTGAATCAATATGAGTGAACTTTTCATTACCAAAGTTGAAGGAAACCTTCGCTAACTGTTACCTAAGGTGACGAAACCTGGCCGAAATGGAACTTGATGACCTGTTCCAAATTCAGGCGACATCTAGGTGATGGCAGGAAATCTTTGAGTCGCGGATGTCAGGCATTCAAAGCAGTCTTAAGCTGAAATGATCCACATTAGCGACGGCTCCGAGAAAAAGAATGATGCAACTTTTGAAGACAGATTTTTTTTTATTTCCAGAATTTCTTGCCTTCGCAAGTTTTTGAAATGATAATTTTTTGTATTCCGCAGGTCGAAATTGGAATCTGGGCAAAATGTGCCTCAGAAGACGAGCGGGGTTCTTTTGGGAGAGCAAGGCAACCTGGGGAATTTGTCGTCATCGTCGACGTCGGGGCTGTCGACTGCGACACCACAGTCGGAAAAATGGAATGGGCTTTTGATGTCGTTGCGGGAATTGGTGGAATGGGTGCTCCGGAAGGATTCCGAATTATCCAGCGTTGCTCATGTCCTGGCGGATATCCCGTGTTTACACCGACAGCAGGTCTGTTCTGAATTGTGTTTCAAAGTGGTCTTTTGTTTTTTCCGGATTGATTAGAAACTGATTCATTTTTGACTGATGATCGCAACATTTGCTCTACGTGTTTCAGGACGATTTGCGGGCTTTCAGGAGAGAATTGGAAGCTCGAGCGCCGATGATTGAAAGCAATTTGTCAAATGGGCGAAATTATTTGACTAATGACGCCAGTATGTCTGATGCCAGTGACACTGAAGGTTGGTGATTCTATTTTTATATATTTTCGTATTAATAGTGTAACTGTATGGCGATTTTTTTTTAGCTGTTGATTCTTGATCTTTTTGATTTCCGAATAAAACTACCCCCGGAAGTTCGATTATTAAAGGAATCCTAGTTCGCGTTTCTTCCGTGAGGAGGAATGAGTCGCTTTCGGAATAATTGATCGATTTTTCCTATTCCTTATTTTTTTTAGATTTTAGTTCTTCGTTTGAGTCGAAGAAAGAACCTTCTGCGCGAGTTGCAAGGCGGGAATTGAAAACTTTGAGCGAACGGTGGTCTTCCTTGAACGCTCGTTTGGATGTCATGCAGCAAAGGAACAACGATCTTCAGGCTGTGAGTTTTTCAAATAAAAATAAAAAATGAAGTGGGTGTAACGTGTACGAATGAATTCTTCAAGGTTTAACATTTTCCCGAGTAGTAATCGGAGATGAGTATTTGAAATTCATTGAATTGTAAAACTGCCTCCCTCATCAATTGATATTTGAAAACAAGCTTCACATTCAGCAACACTTATTACAAAGAAAGACTAACAATTTTTTGCGTAAAAGTGTATTCATTGACCGGAAAAATTTCCATTCACGAGATTTTTACATCATCACAGTGATGGGCTTTTACTTCTGTTCTAACGAGGATGAACTAAAATTGCAGCAGTCTTCAAATATTCCTTCCCAGAAAAAACACTGTATTTTTACTTCCATCCGAGACTTATAACGAAAGGAAGGATAGGACTGACAGAAACAATTGACACTTCGTAACATTTTGTGTTGTCGTGCTACTTTGATCATTAGTCGAAGAATCAGTCCCCTAGAATTTAATTCATTTTTGCGATTTTCCAGAAAACCCATAAGCTGCAGCAAACTGTGGACGAAGCCCATCAACGTTTGGCACAAGCTGAATCTTCAATTGCTCGTTGGGTCGCGTTGTCTGACCCTGGCCGAGCCGATGAGCTCATGAATGAAGTGACGGTAAGAAAAGGTTTTTTTTCGCATGTAAGAGGATCAATATTAATTGTGTAATTGTTTTAGTATTTTCTGAAAAGAATCTGTCTTTTAAATACTGTATATATTTTCTCATCAGGAACAATATATGGTGACATTTTCTGAATTATAGTGTATTTTTGATGCAATAGAAAAATGTTCATTCAAGTGTAGAATTCAATTCTATAAAAAAGTTTCTAGCTATAGATTTTCTACGCTTTTTTCAGCAGTTTCTTTGAGAGTACAAAAGAAAATGAAAAGTTCTGAAGATGTATTTTAGTTTTTTTTTCCTGTATGTGTCGTTATAAGTTGAAATTTGTGTGCAAGAAATCAACCATTCTATTCTGAAGGACAAATTTTTTAATCTCTTTTCAGTACTTCAATCGGTAGCAAAGAATTTATTTAATTTCTGATTCAGATCGCCACTTTTTCGAATATTTGAAAAAGAATCTTTTTTTTCGAAGCAGAATAAAATTCAAAAAAGCCCGATTCAGAAATTAGGCGAATTTTCGAGGAGTTTGACTTTATACCGTATTAGCGATTTTTCCGCACAAAAAAATGGCGGAAAAGTGAATATATACCTCATTGAGTACTTCTCGTGTCATTTTGAACCTCAAATTCTTTTTTTTTTTTTTACAGCGAATGCGAGAACACATGGCACCCATTCGTCGAGTCGTCGACGAGGTTCGTGAGCAGGCGGGACGGTTGCAGGGCTCGACAGTGTCGCTCACACCGCACATGCAGAACCGTCTGAAGGACATCCAGGTTCGTTGGGGCCAAGTGGAGAAGGCCGTCGACGACCGTTGGCGACGGATGAGTCTCAGCGACTCCCTCAGACGCGACCGCCAAATGGAAAGGGACGCCATGCGGATGACCAAGCGGTCTGGTCGTGCCGCCAGCGAGGACGAACTTGCAGTTTTTTGCCAGGCCTAAATACCCTCCGCGAGGGGTATCCCCGCGCAAGCTGTTGCTCCCGCGAGGTTCAGATGGGTTCTGAGGATGGGGGATCCTGGTTGCTATGTATGGGTCAGTATTCGCAGTGAAGAGAATTTAGTTAGAGTGTAGTAACACAACGCAGTCTGTGATCACGCTTGGTGCATTTTCGATTTATTCCCCGTCGGGTTTTCAATGGAGAGCCTTTTTCTTCTTCTTCTTCGAGGGGTCTTTGTGATGGATGAATGACAAAAGAAATGTCGTGTTGGGTGTATGTAGGGAATGCCCCATCCCGTGAGGGGGGGGGAAAGATGTGTAAGAAAGAGTGATTCGATTTACGTGTGTGTGTGTGTGGACGAGAAAATAATTTCATGACAGATTTTGACGGAAGAAATGGATTTTCGTGACTTGAGGCATCTCGCGAGTTTTTTTCTCGCCTAATAGACATTTCTGTCGTATATTTTGAGGTTTTTTTTTATAATTTTGTGAGAACTCGGGATTTGAATTTCGGGAGAAGTTGTTCGATTGCTGCAGCAGTTTTCTGATTCCATCTATTGTTAAAGTTTTGAAAAGTGGGATTGCTGTATATTAAGGTGAATAAACTCGAATTCGAATTCAAAAATTTTGACATTGAATCACGGCGCATCTCACGTCAACGTCTTGCGTCTCTGAATAATTATTCGTTTGCCATCATACAGGTGTTTGTTAGGTCTTAACATAATTTTAGCATGTCATGCTGGGTTTGGATAATTTCTCTGTAATGGTTAGGCTTTTAATTGTTTTTTTTTCTGTCGAGTTATTGAATTTAAGCGACACCTGTGAGACATCTGTGAAAGCAAGGTTGTGCGGTTGTACGTCCTGACTCTGCAATTTTACTCTGTGGTCATATAGATGTCGCTTCTAAATGTTCCCTGTTCAATGTGAGATGAATCCAATGGCGTTTTTCATGGTTTGTTCTGGTAAGGGTGTACAGTACTCGTTCAGGTGACTCCTGGGTATCATTTTGTGAAGCAAGCTTATACAAAATAACGATGCAGTCGAACCTCCTTCAGTCGATCTTCGAGGGACCCGCAAAAGAATGCGAGTTTGGAAGGTTCGGGAAGCGAGAAGTTTTATTGGGGGAAAGATGTAAGACTTCCAGGAAATTGCGATTGATGATATTCTAGGTCTTCAATTTATTCTTCAATGAGTTGAAAAGATGCTGAACTTGGAGACAAGGGTTCACTTGCCGAATAAGTCTTTCAATTTGCCCTTTCAAAACGCATCAAGTTGAATTTTTATTTCTTTTCACTTCCTTTTGCAATTGAAATATTAGCCAAAAGGTGTCTGGACAATTCGATTTATGAACGTTTGAGAGGGAAAGCCTTTGAGTTCAAGAGGTTTTTAATGCAATGTTGAAAGAAAATTCAGCCAGGGACTTTAAAAAAATTATACATAGTGAGGTATAATTGACTTGGATGGGTTGCAGTTATCAAGTTCCAACTTTAGTTTTTTTATTTTTCATGCCTCCTTTTCGATTGACTGAGTCTTGGGGTTCTCATCGTTGACGAAAAAAAAAAAAAGAAGAAGAAAAGTTAGGTCCTCTATTACACCTAGCTAAAAGCTGTCTCGAAAACTTCAATCTAAACTTTCCTTCCCTTAAAAGTAATTCCCGACCAACCCCCCCAAAAAGCTGCTGGGCTTCTTCGTCTCTGGTTTGACGACAGGAGCCCGTTTTGTGCCTTGCACAATATGCTCTATCTCGCATATACTACCCCCGGGGGGTCTTTGATGAGCCGTTCGTGTCTAAATGGGGACTCTGAGGGATTCGCTCTCTTGTTCGGGTGGGGGGTTCTTATTGATCTTTTCAAATGATGATGGAGATTTGGGAACGCAAAAGTTGGGTTACTCGAGCTTACCATCCATCGTTCATTTTATTCTCGCCACGATGATCCCTTATTTTAATGAGTCTGACTGCTTTTTTTTTCAAGTTTAAATTTGGCTCTAGTTTCCAATTAGATTTTTTTTTGCTGGGATGTCCAATTTTAAAAATATGCTTTTGGGTTCCAGATGGGATTTAACACATTTTTTGCACGCCTATTTTAGAAGATCCGAACTACAGTATTTTCATTTATTTCTTGATGTCTCCCACTTGAAAATCTTCTTCCCATCAATTATATTTTTCCACCACCCGACAAGGGCTTTGGATTGAAAGGCCTTTTTCTAGGATTTACAGGTTATGCACTGTAGCGACATCTAGAATATACAGAGGAGGAACGTATTTTTTCCACTTATTTTTCCTTTAAATGCAATCCTAATTCATGATTTGAATGAGGTGAAAAATGTATTCATTTTTATTTTTGTTATGTCGCCAAAGCGTGAAGATTATTTCAAGAGACAAGAATTATATTTTAAAATTCAGATCATAAATAATTCACTTGTTTTTGGCATCCTTCATCTGTTTATCTGACATGAGATGTAGAATGTATCACTTACTTACCTTTTTGTCGTTAAAATCTTGCGATTGCGTCTGAATCAATATGAGTGAACTTTTCATTACCAAAGTTGAAGGAAACCTTCGCTAACTGTTACCTAAGGTGACGAAACCTGGCCGAAATGGAACTTGATGACCTGTTCCAAATTCAGGCGACATCTAGGTGATGGCAGGAAATCTTTGAGTCGCGGATGTCAGGCATTCAAAGCAGTCTTAAGCTGAAATGATCCACATTAGCGACGGCTCCGAGAAAAAGAATGATGCAACTTTTGAAGACAGATTTTTTTTTATTTCCAGAATTTCTTGCCTTCGCAAGTTTTTGAAATGATAATTTTTTGTATTCCGCAGGTCGAAATTGGAATCTGGGCAAAATGTGCCTCAGAAGACGAGCGGGGTTCTTTTGGGAGAGCAAGGCAACCTGGGGAATTTGTCGTCATCGTCGACGTCGGGGCTGTCGACTGCGACACCACAGTCGGAAAAATGGAATGGGCTTTTGATGTCGTTGCGAGAATTGGTGGAATGGGTGCTCCGGAAGGATTCCGAATTATCCAGCGTTGCTCATGTCCTGGCGGATATCCCGTGTTTACACCGACAGCAGGTCTGTTCTGAATTGTGTTTCAAAGTGGTCTTTTGTTTTTTCCGGATTGATTAGAAACTGATTCATTTTTGACTGATGATCGCAACATTTGCTCTACGTGTTTCAGGACGATTTGCGGGCTTTCAGGAGAGAATTGGAAGCTCGAGCGCCGATGATTGAAAGCAATTTGTCAAATGGGCGAAATTATTTGACTAATGACGCCAGTATGTCTGATGCCAGTGACACTGAAGGTTGGTGATTCTATTTTTATATATTTTCATATTAATAGTGTAACTGTATGGCGATTTTTTTAAGCTGTTGATTCTTGATCTTTTTGATTTCCGAATAAAACTACCCCCGGAAGTTCGATTATTAAAGGAATCCTAGTTCGCGTTTCTTCTGTGAGGAGGAATGAGTCGCTTTCGGAATAATTGATCGATTTTTCCTATTCTTTATTTTTTTTAGATTTTAGTTCTTCGTTTGAGTCGAAGAAAGAACCTTCTGCACGAGTTGCGAGGCGGGAATTGAAAACTTTGAGCGAACGGTGGTCTTCCTTGAACGCTCGTTTGGATGTCATGCAGCAAAGCTTGTTGCTAGAAGTCCGACACTCAAAAAGTTTATTTTTATTTTTTACTTCACCCACATTGCACATGCTTACTTAAGAAGTTCCAAATTGTAAAAGGGCTCATCATTAGCCTCTACTCATAAACTTTATCATTGAATTGTAAAACTGCCTCCCTCACCAATTGATATTTGAAGACAAGCTTCACATTCAGCAACACTTATTACAAAGAAAGACTAATAATTTGTTGCGTAAATAAATAATTGTTAGACCGGGAAATTTTGCATTCACGAGATTTTTTCGTCATCACATTAAAGGGCTTTTGCTTAGCTTTTGCGTCTGTTCTAACGAGGATGAACTAAAATTGCAGCAGTCTTCAAATATTCCTTCCCAGGAAAAATACTGTATTTTTATTTCCACCCGAGACTTATAAGAAGGAAAGACAGGACTTACAGAAACAATTGACACTTAGTAACACTTTGTGTCGTCGTGCTACTTTGATCATTAGTTGAAGAATCAGTGCCCTTGAATTTAATTTATTTCTTGTGCTTTTCCAGAAAACCCATAAGCTGCAGCAAACTGTGGACGAAGCCCACCAACGTTTGGCACAAGCGGAATCTTCAATTGCTCGTTGGGTCGCGTTGTCTGACCCTGGCCGAGCCGATGAGCTCATGAATGAAGTGACGGTAAGAAAAGGGTTTTTTTTTCGCACGTAAGAGGATCAATATTAATTGTGTAATTGTTTTAGTATTTTCTGAAAAGAATCTGTCTTTTAAATACTGTATATATTTTCTCGTCAGGAACAATATATGGCGACATTTTCTGAATTACAGTGTATTTTTTATGCAATAAAATAATGTTTATTCAAGTGTAGAATTCAATTCTATAAAAAAAATTTCCAAGAGCTATGGATTTTCTACGCTTTTTTCAGCAATTTCTTTGAGAATACAAAAGGAAATGATGGAAAGTTCTAAAGATGTATTATAATTTTTTTTCCTGTATGTGTCGTTATAATTTGAAATTTGTGTGCTGTAGTTCAAGAAATCAACCATTCTATTCTGAAGGACAAATTTTTTTATCTCTTTTCAGCACCTCTATCGATAGCAAAGAATTTTTTAAATTTCTGATTCAGATCGCCACTTTTCCAAATATTTGAAAATGGATCGGTTTTTTTTTTGAAGCAGAATAAAATTTAAAAAAAAACCCGATTCAGAAATTAGGGGAATTTTTGAGGAGTTTGTCTGAAAATTGTAAATTTAAATTTTAAATTTATACCGTATTAGCGATTTTTCCGCACAAAAAATGGCGGAAAAGTGAATATACACCTCGTTGAGTACTTTTCGTGTCATTTTGAACCTCATTTTCTTTTCTTTTTTTTACAGCGAATG